TGAATATAGATTATGCAGATATTGCAATCTGACAATACCCGTTAGCTATATCTGTCTAAATGGAAACAGAAGATATTTCTGTGCGATCTGACGAAGTGACACAGCTTCGCATTCCAACACTAAAGTTGCCATATTGCCAGGGTACCATGGATACTGTAATTCCTCGATACAGTACCGACAAAAAAAGAAGGGCCATCGCAAGCCACAAATTACGCTAGTAATAAGACGACTTCTTTCACTGTGGACTAGAAGAGCGCGGAGAAATCATTGACATCGAAACGGTTTCCAGACTCTTAACAGACCTTCACCGATGGCACAAAGAACTCCTCCTAGCCATAATTATAATAATAAAGTTTCCAATAGCAGAGTACTCCGCAATTCCTATGTTATAATTCTATGAATTACTTAAACAGTATTCCACCACTTCGCGGCATTATGTACGTTAATAACAAGGTACGAAATTAGAACAAACCATGAGAAAAAAAAACCTACCTCCATCTCCGAAAAAACGGGAAGAAAGCCGTAAGACAGGGCAAGATCAGAATCTTTAAAGTGTTCCTGTTTTTTCATATCTTTTCGTTTTTCTTCAAACTAAAATTTTCAACAAGTTTACATAAATAATCAGACTTCAATGAGGCATCAAAACTTGTCGATAAAGTTCTTTGTTTTCAACGACGCTACAACTGGAAACCGAGAGGCCGTACTGCTCCGCCCGCGAATACTTGCAAGAATTTAAGATCGGAAGAACATAATTTGTATACTCCCGCGAATCCAATGCAACGGCTCGCAACACACCGTCATCTACAATTGTACAGTTTACAAAGAATATAACGGGAGTGACGTTAGTACGATAAATATTGAAGTACCATCAATAATCGCAAGTCATAGAACTAACAACAGGTGTTGTTGGGTTTGTGTATTCATCACTTTGAAATAAGGTGTGATGCCAACTGCATCCACAAACTTTCAATGCTTTTGCGATTAGGCAACGGTTATTGCGTTATACAAAAAAATTCATCTCTGAAAGATGATCTATATCAAGCTTGTGTCTCCAGATTAGTGATGGCTTCACGGCGCAGAGGCTTGCCGTGTTTCGACTCCCACGCAAAAACCTCGCAAGCTGGAATAATGATTTATGCTCAGTGAGTTCATGTAACATAGCCAACTTCCTTTTCTTCATCTTTCTATCAATTGCGCACACCTCTGTCCGGAATAGGATACAGTCTTCAGTACATCGTCATGCCATTTGACCCTCACCCTGCGTCAAGTAAATGCTATTATGCGCTGTTAAACCGTCGATCTTGGTCCTTCGACAGAACAGCTGCTTCCATGCCATACAACACTTACCTGAGCTAGAAAAAGTATTAGCAGATTTTTGTAAGAGTACTCCACTCTCAGCTCAAATAAATACGAGGTTACAACGTGGAACTGCCGAATATCATATTTTATGTACCTCAAAATATCAAACACGCTTGATTAAATAGTAGCAATGAAAGGTTAATGCAACCAGCATTAAAACAATCTATCACTTTTTATTCGCCTCAAGTTGTTTCTTACTAAAACACACTTCAGAGAGCATTCCTGACTCTGACGGAAGTCATAAAAGGAGGCACAAGATCCAAGCATTAGTTTTGACTTCTCAGAGGATCAAGCGAGTACATCAGAGAGCTCCAGTAAATGTAGCGAAAATTCCATAAAAAAAGCGACAGTCTACCTGATCACTAACACCTTGGAAATGCTGTGCAATCTCTGGTCCTGCCGAAAATCCAAATATTAGCAAAACGGAATCATATACAAGAAATGAGGCAATGCATGACTGAGTAAGGCTGTAAAAACATGCCTGACATGACTGAGGAACGCCAATAGAGAATGATTCGAAACGGACAGCACATCAATAAATTAGTTAAGAAAATCATATAAAGGCGATCAACGAAGGAACAGGTCCTCACTTCTTTAATTTGCCAGCGCTACCGGCAAAGAAACATGGTCGTAAAATAAAACGCATGCGATGCAATGGAGAGTGTCATTGACGGCAAGCAAAGACAAATGATAGAAGAACCTTATCGCGATTGTACCGCAGCAGTGACGAAGTAGACTAATACAGCAAAAAAGCCATTCTTTGAAAGTGGACATAATGAAATGAGTATACCCGAAGATTTAAGGTTGATATCATACAAAAAAGTGCAACAATCAATAGGGCATAGTGCCCAAAAGACCTAATGAAATAACTTCGTTGATATAGCCAGAAAATTGTAACACTCAAATTGGCAACGCACACTTGTTTTCACAGGAGAAGTGGACAACTGATGTATTTGTTCTAGCGATATTGTTACTGCTGTTACACGATACGTTTATAAATTAATTCTGCGTTTTGCAGGATACAATAATTCAGTACACTGACATGCAAATATACAGAGAAAAAACGAAAAATTACAAAAAAAAATTTTGGAGTTCATCAGGTAATGGTCAAAATAGTGATAAAAGTCTTCAAAAATCCAGAGGCTGTATATCGGCGTTAGCATTTTAGTGTTCTTCGAAGTACGACCAGGAGAAATGAGCCATTTTGACGATGCGTTGAGTAAAACGCACGTATTTCTTCTACAACTGGCTGCGACCGTCAAATTACGGCGAGATTTCGCTTCGGCAAGCTGTGCACTTTTGTAAATCAAGGATCAACTGCTACATTCAGCGACGGAATGAGTCGGTTATCGGTGAAAATTTTTTGTGAACTTTCTGTGGAATTCTTCACTGTTGTCGAATCCTCAAGAAAGGAATGCTACTTTTCCAAGTTTCTAGAGAAAAACGTAGCTCATCTACATCGATCAAAACAAGAAATCCGCACATCTTCAAAATACAGTGGTACTTCGAGTCACGAACGCCTCTAGTCATGAACAACTCGACCCACGAACACAATTTCCGAACAAACTTTGACTCGACCTGCGTACAATGCCTCGACACACGAACGCACAAACATGACTCTGGGGTAAGCGGACAAAAGCCCCCGTGAACAAAAACAAATTTTGATTCCATGCGCGCACAGTGCCTCGGCGCACGAACGCCTAAACATGACTTTGGGGCAAGCAGACAAAATCCTCCCCCCCCCCCCCGTG